AAAGTGTCCAGCACATGAAATTTCAACTATTCAATAGAAGGAATGATAGGATTAGCTTCTTCAGTGGTTTGTCTTTGAATTTCTATATCATCTTCAATAAATATCATAGCTTCTAATTCAGGCTCATCAAGTGAAAGATTAGCAATTTCTAATATTCCCATATCCTCAAGAGATTCAAATCCATCTCCAGCAACATCCCACATCCTGTTGTCTCCTTCATATAAGTTGGAGTTTTCCTTGAGAGAAGCCGAAGGTTTGTATGCACGTAAACTAAATCTTTAGCCCGTTGTGGAGTAATTTTATTTCTCTTCATTGATTGGATGAATGAGTATGTGCTCCAATTTCTTTCACAACAGGATGAGGATGAAACTTGGCCAAGCAATTTTATGGCGATTGTTTGAAGTAGAGGTGCTGAAGCTCCATGTATAATCCACCACATTTTCGGATCAATTCTCCTCCTATCACGCAAGGACTCTTGGTCACCAAAGTCCTCTAAATAACCAAAAAATTTAGCAAGCTCAATATTGACACTTCTTCTCTCCTCATTTGGAAAATAACGCTTCAAACATGTCTTCCTCATATTTGAAATTTTTAAATCTTTCTGTGGAGAAACTCTTTGAGGATCATCTTGAAGCCATTCTTTAGTTTAATATCTTCAAATAACATTAAAATGAAATAATAAAAAATGTTGAAATTACAAAACAACAAATTGTGAATTCATAATGAAAAAATGTTGAAATTTACCTTGGATTTAGTGAGTGAGCCAAGCAATGTAAAGGTGTATTACTTTTGCTCCACCTATCTTCTAGAATAGCATAAATAACATCCCAAAAGATTGAGTCTTCATGAAGTGCCTTCCTCTCATGTCTATATATAATTTCTTTTACTTTGGCTAGCATTGAATCCCACATCTCATAAATGAGATGTAAACAAGACTTATCTGTATCAGCTACTCTCAACATCTCATAAATTGGGTCTGTGAAATTTATGATGTATTCAATCTCATCCCACCATAAATCATCTAAAAGCTTCTCTTTTACATACCTAGCCTTTCCAATATCATCTTCCCTATAACATGACCATTTGTCACTGATCACCATAGCTTGATGAGCATTTTTTATTTTTTTGAATCTTCTCAACATCACTATAACTGAGGCAAACCGAGTTTCAGCAATTGCAAGTATCTTTAAATTAGAGAAATCATTAAACATAGAGAGTCTCATGGAATGATTCATAATAAAATTTCTAATTACAATTGCATCTCTAGCAATCACTGTGATCCAATGACATTCATTATAGGTGATTTCATTTGCCTCGGTATTCTTAGCTACACAAATGTTCTTCAAAGCAAGATTAAGTGTATGCACAACACATGGTGTCCAGAAAATATGAGGATATGCTTGCTCTACAAGTAGACCTGCAGCTCTACAAACAGGTGCATTATCAGTAATGACCTGAATGATGTTTGAGCCCCACCATCATGATAACTTCTTTGATTAAATTAGAAATAAAGAACTTATCCTTGTACTGTCCTTCACAGTTTACAGTTTTGATAAACATAGGATAGCTCTCTGTTACAGCCATGAAGTTGATAAGTGGTCTTCTTTGTGGATCTGTCCACCAATCACAAACCAAAGTAACTCTTTTTTCCTTCCAAACTCCTTTAGTAGGCTCGAGCAACTTCTCAATATTGTCCCTCTCTCTTTGCAACAACTTCGTTCTAATGACATTATATCCTGGTGGCACGTATCCTGCAAGATTGTTACTGCATGCATATGTAAAGGCATTCTTGTAATGTGGATTCATTGCTAGGTTAAAAGGAAGTCCAGCTGAGTAAAACATTCTAGCTATTTCCCCATCTAGTTGTTCTCTCATTTGTAAATTAAATGCTTTCTCCAAAGCACTATCTACAACATGTTTTCTTCTTTTTTTTTCAAATCTCTCAATTCGAAAAGGCCCTTTGTTTACAGTACTGTCATCACATCTAATTGAAGAAGATGATGAAGGATATAAAGCATGAGTGCTTGGAAATGGAATATGTTTTGAAAGCTCTTTTTTACTCCTTTGATCAGCTTCACTGATTTTTCTTTGTAATTCAGCCATTTGTGATGAGCTTATATTTGGGCAAACTTTGATTCCATGACCACTAATCTTCAATAAATGAGCTTTCACTCTAGAATATGATCCTTTGTATGTTGCTTTACAAAAATTGTATTTGAATGCAATATTGCCTCCCCCTTCTGATGTTTTACCAATTTTTGTAACATAACCCCATAGAGGTTTGCTATCTTCAATAATGATTTCTGATGGACCATCATCAGAACCAATTCCTACTCCACTAGAGCTCATTATCCTACAAAAGATTTATACAAATTGAAACATGAAAAAATTTAAGTGAAAGTGTAGATATGTTGCGACTCTGTCGGGGTTCCTAGGGGGCGCTGCCCCCTGGTGGGGTTCGACTTGCCTGGTCAGGTCTCAGGGTCAAGGAGCAGCGCCCCGAAACAAATTTTTTTTGTAAGAGTAATTTTGAAGTGCTATTTATTTTTAAAGTTGTTTTTATGGAAATATACCGAGCGGTACCGAGCGATACCGAGCAATACCGAGTTACAATACCGAGCGATACTGAGTTCCAATACTGAGCGGTACCGAGTTCCAATACCGAGCAGTACTGAGTTCCAATACCGCTCGGTACCGAGTAGTACTGAGCAATACCGAGCGGTACCGAGTGATACCGAGTTCCAATATCGAGCGGTACCAAGTTTCGATATCGAGCCTATGATTAAGAAAGCGAAGAACGACGAAGAAAACGAACCTTCACTGCTCATGTCGCCTTCACTATTCGCGTTGTCGAGCCCCGTCGACAAAGGATGATCCTATCGACTTTAATGCTCACGTCGTCAAGCCTCTTTGTCAACAAAGGATGATCCTGTTTGCTTCTATGCTCGCGTCAACGAGCCGCTCCTTCAACTATAACGAAGAAGATGAACACTTGTGTGGAAACAAAAAACCTAGCTCTTTGAAATGTTTCAGCCGCATAAATGAATATGGATATTGAGCGGAAACGGTGGAAAGCCGAAAAGAATAGGGTAAATTGCGGCTCTGTGTTTTTTTTAATAGGACACGCGTATCCGATACGCGTGTCCAGTCAAATTTAAATATTATTTTAATTGGACACGGCAAAGCCGTATCCGACACGTATCCGTGCCGTATCGGAGGCGTATCCGTATCCGACACATGTCAGATACAGCACGCCTCGTAAATAGGAGTATCCGTGCAACATAGCTGTCAATATGTTTATATATGGTCCATACAAATTAATAGTATAATGATGGGCAAATCTTCTTTCAAATACAATAATTCCTTTGGAAGAAGAATTGGGGTGATTGCAACATGTCATTATTAGTACTTGCTAATTCCATAACTACCTGGGAATGCTGAAACCTTAGCAAGTTGAACTCATAAACTCTCTTTTTTTATTTTCCAAGCATCATATAAGGTGTCAATGATATCCATGGATCCCAACTCTTTTACCGGACAAACTTGCACCAAGATCTACAACATGCATATTTATGGGCTACAACCCACTTTTCAGAGGATACAAATGCTGCATTAGCTGTACGAAAGCCCATGCACCTCATGATAAAGCTCATCTCATTCCTCAAGATTACAATATGAACGCCAAATTGACTATACTGAAAACTTCAACCCCATTTCAAGAATGCAATAATTAGATTACTCATTATTATCATGCATCACAATCAACTCACACCCAACTTAACATCTCCATTCATAACCATGTTGAATGGTTTAAATTTCAAGTAATCCAGAATTATTGAGTACACAATTTCCTTCCAATTATTGCTGACCAAATGTCATAAGGAAATTAAATTTATTATTGTTATTTTATTTATCAAAATTTACAGTTTACAATTCTTTTAAAGTTTTATTTGCTTCTTTTTGCCTTGATACTCCATTGGCATTCATGAGGTTGGAGTGGCTTAAAACCTCTCACTTTTCTCTCGTTTCCATTCAAGATGATAACAATAGGAAAATAAAGACAATGAAAGCCGAGAGGATGACCTTCTCTTGCATTTCTTACATCCAAAAATGAGACTGATAACTTGAATCCTTCTCTTTGACCCTCTCTCTTCTCATCAGGTTAAGCTAGTCTGGAACCTGACAAGATCGGTGTTTTTTCTTCCCAATATTAGAGGTGTTGAGGACTTTTTGGGAACATCATAGTATAATTTATGACAAAAAAGACAAAATAAAGAAGGGAAAGTCTTCCAAACTTCTATTTGGGCGAGAGGGTGTATTGTCCCTTGGATGGGGAAAACTTATTGATTGCATTGAGGTTTAAAGTACGTGGGATTAAATGTACATGCCAAAAGTACTTGAGGATTTTCTCAACATTTCAAAAACTACATGGGGGCAAAATATAATTATCCCAAAAATCTGACATTGGTCGCTCTGAGTTTTTCATTACTAACTAACCCATTTGTTTTAATCAGTAATGGAATTCAAAGAAATTTCCATACTTTCTTGAGAATTTTCTGTTGACACTTATCCAAGAGCTCATATGGTTGTTTGAAAAATAGTGAACTTTGTTAAATCATCATTTATTAGGATGTTCAAAGACCGCAGACCTCTTTAAAGTTTGCTCTTCCCAAACTGATGATTTCATTTTTGCACTCAAAATGATTGAAAATTAAATCATTTTTTAAGCATGTTTTCTACCTACAATCAACCAAATGAGTCCTTGAATGCAACTTTCTTGAATTTTAAATTCTGATGATGTTTTTTTAACCAAAGTATGCTTTCTTAATTTTATAAACATATTCTATTTGGTCTGTCTTTTTGGTTCTAAGGCCTTTTTCTTCATTTATTCTGCTATTATGCCCAACTTAATAAATCATGCCATGTGGTTTGATGATGTTTTCTAATTACCATGATAATGCTAATATGGAATTTTATCTAATTAAGAATGACATTTCCAGGAATTGGATTTCTTGTTTGAGGCCAGGAATAGTGAAAAATGCTTGGAGAATTTTAAGAGGTTATCTCCTCATATTGCTGACTGCATATATGTCCCAAAGGTATATTGGGATCTGAGCACATCCAAAGTTCTGACTATGGAATATATGGATGCAGCGGAAATAACTGACTTAATTACAATTCAGAGACTTGGGATTCAACTTTCTGATGTTTCCAAACTAGTAAAATCAGTTTGCCGTACTTTTGTGTGAAATAATTTTTTGGCATGACATCTATTTTTGCTAACTTTTCCTCATAAACCGTATAGGTTAGTCAAGCTTTTGCTGAAATGATATTTAGGCATGGATTTGTGCACTGTGATCCGCATGCTGCTAACATGATGGTTCGCCCTTTGCCATCTGGTAGAAAGAACCTTTTTGGTAAGAGTGTGCATCAATTGTGCTTTTGACTTTGTATTTGAAGTGCAGAAAACATGGTTTCCTTTTTCTGAATTCTATTTTTGAAATCAGAGTGGAATTATAATCTGACTGCATAAGCATGAATATACTTGTCCAAATTTTTATTTATTTTTTCTTCTTAGAGATATTTTCAATTTTGTAGGTAGTTTTTATTTTATTTTATTTTTCTTTTCCAAAAACCAGGGAAGATTTGGTGGGTTCAGGCAGACCCTTAACCATTTATTTCATCATCGAAAGGTCAAATCATAGTATAAGAAGAAATCTAGCATTAGTAAGCTTGGCAAAATAAAATTCATTTCAGTTCAATCCACTAAACCAACTCCTACAGTTTTACTGACCCCTAACATATGGATTTCCTCATCTATCTAGACGCCACCGTGATACTATTTGCATCCCTGCATCTGTCATTGGCTAAGCCATTAGTGTCTAACGCTGTTAACAAGTAAAATTTTTTCAATTTCCATGCGTTCAGGAAACCATGAATCAAACAGAATGCTAACCCCCACATCAATGCTTGAAGTTCTTCAAGAAATGAAGATCTTATCCCCAGTTAGTTTAGAAGGCAAGGAGAATTCAACCTTGATCTCTGCCAATCCGCCTACAGTAGTATCCTGGGATTTCTTTCCTTTAAAACATTCATCTACATTAAGCTTAAGAATTTGCCATTGCACTATCGATGCTATCAAATATTCTGTATTTTTATTTTATGTTAAACATTAGTATGTTAATGTAGTTTTTTATGTTTTTTTTTCTTTTTAGCTATCCAATGATCATGGTAGGTTGTGCTTGGGGCTTGGTGGACCTTTGGTTTGCTAGCTTGTTGGTCCTTGCCTGCTGCTGGTTCACGGGTTGGCTTATGGTCCACGGTTTTGGGCTTATGGTGATGATTGGAAGGAGGTGGTTCATTGGTGTTGAGCTCTAATTACTAAGTTGCTAGCTCATTAATCTTCTAAGGTAAGCTCATAAGTTGGATTCATTGTGGAGTGGTCTTGTCTCTTCTCCTCCCCTTTTCTTCTTAAAAATCTAAGCTTGTCCCTTGGGTTCCTATGCTGGCTGGCTATTTCCATGCCTTTGTCCCGTGGGTTTCCGTGGCTGACTATTAGTTTTTTGTGCTAGTTGGTTTTCCTGTGCCTTGTTCTTGCGGCTGCCTCTTCGTGTTCCGCCTGGGCTATTTTCTCGTGGCTGTTGTGGGGCTTTTCCGTGGCTTTGGTGCTTTGTTTTATGTGTAGAATTGGGGAATATTATAAGTTGGCTGTTGGCTTTTCATTTCCCTCATTAAATTAAGAATATGAAGGGTTTTTTGGGCTGGTTGGTCTCTCCTCTCTTGCCTATAAATATGAGATGATTTGAGAGGGAATGGGAGTTGAATATTGAGAGCAAATTTGCTATAAACCTGCGGGTTCTTCTTGGAAAAGCTTGCGAGCTTGTTCCATTCTCCTTCTCCTCTAGGAAAGCTTGCGAGACTCTCCTCTTTAGTCTTGGCTTCTTACCTCTTTCGCCTCTCCGCAATTTCCACTCCATTTGTATCCTTCTTCTTGAGCTTTGGTGGTGTTTGTTGGCTGATTTGGGAGCATTTGCTGGAGGAGTTTAAATTGGACGGTTGGACGATCTTGCTGTGGTGGACCATCGGTTTGCTAGTCCTAAGCACTTATCTTACTTTAACCTATATTTCGATGCATGTGAGGAACCCGCTCTGACGGTTGTCTGAGGATAGCATTTTTTTTTCTTTGTTTCTTTGATTTTCTTCTAGAATTTTTGTCATATTTTGGATGTTATAGATGATCGCTACTATTTGAATTGAGTCTGGTTAAGTTCTGCCCATTGTTCTCCTTGTTTTGGCTTTTCTAACTAGTGTGCTTACATCAACTATTTTAGCGGCAACAGAATTTTCTAGAGGGAATGCAGCTGGACGTGAAAGGGTTGATTCACCTGTATAATATCTGGCTGCAAGAAAATTTGCGTCTCTTAATAGAAAAATGTGTTTTGTAACTAATGCGGCCTCATTAAATGCAGTCACTATGGTATTTCTCTTACAGCACTGGGTTGCTTTGAAACAAATGAGTTACGGTTTCTTCTGATGCACAAAAATGACGATTAGATTCCATTTGGAAGCCATATAGTTCATCCTTCTATCAACTGGGTAAAGCATCATATATAATTCGCCAACAAAAGGCCGTTGTCTGCTTGATCTTGTTTGTTCTGAAAATTTGGCATGCATTTTGACACTATAGAGCAACTCTTAATTGTTCACTAATAGTCTAGAGATCCCATGCAGGCTCTCGAGAAAATCAATTACTGTACTCACTGCCCTTTTACTTCCGGTCATAAAAATGATTGCATCATTATCAGAATGATACATAGGTAATAGCCCGGGATGAGGCTAAAGTAACACCCTGATTAGACCCTCATTTTCCGCTTAATGAGGTCAACATAGTTGATGTCCCTTCGACATGTCAACACCTCCATGACATGTCAAATACTCCTAAGTGAATATCAATCACAAATGTTTCTTCCCTCTCCAAGATAAATATTAACTACAACTCCACAGTCAAATAAAGCTAAACTTAAATCCCTAGTAGTCGCCCACCTTGCCCAAAATATTTTATCTATTCATATTAGAACCCAACTATCCCTAGTAGATTCATATATTTCTACAGGCTACCAAACCCACAGTCAAAATTGCAAAGCTTGCAGCAAACTCAATGCTCAATCCCCAAAGAGTCCCATCATAAGTTGGCAATCATTTTCCCTATGGATTAGCCAAACCACCACCTTTCTCGAAATGAAAATGAATACAAATATTTTGAGAGCGTTAGCTCCCTTTTAGTTGGGCAAATTCAAAAGATCTCCCAAAAGTCTAAATTCAAATAATATCAAGATACAATTGATCCTCTATTCGAGAGGAGGATTTATCTCTCCCAAATCTCTAGATGCCGCTAGAGCCCAAAAAACCTAAGAGATCTCAAATTCAACCAAATTCAAGATGCCCTAACCTTAGGAAAAACAAACTATTTAATGCATACAATTCAAAAGAAAATCTTTAAACGGCCCCTACTTTGAAATTTCCCTCCCAACGCCCTTCAAAAACCTTCCTAAATAGCTCTGTAGAACCTAGGCCGTCAAATCATGCATACAGGAGGTGGAGAATTTCCATTTGTTTTGCACAAGTCGGACCCATAGGACCGGCTGGATCGGTCCAATAGACCGGCTTAACAATACTCCCTTTCCAAAGATCCATCTTGTATGCAAGGTGGAAAGACGACACCCTCCTCTTCATTACAAATGGTAAGAACCTAAAGAGTTCAGTCCTTACACCTATGTCCCAGCGTATACTTATCGTCACATCTGAAACAGAGCCCCTTCACCCTTTTCTCCTATAATTCCATTTATGTGAGCTTCTTGATGTTGTCCCCAAGTCTTCCTTCTACAGTCTTATCCTTTGAAGTCCCCCGAAGAGTATTTAGTGTTGGCTCCTTGGATGTCAATAAGGTGCTAGTCATCCTATACGAGTCTACTGAGCTACTTCCTCTCGTTTCTCTCGTCAGTTGCCTCTGATTCTCTATCAGTTGAGCTAGCTCCATAGCCTCTCCCAAGTCATGAGGCCTCATCACTCTAACTGCCATCCGGATCTCTGGTTTCAGTCATTTCATGAAGTTCCTCTTTAGCACTGTCTCAGAAAGGCGGTCCAATCGGCTAGCAAGGTACTCTATTGTTAAATCAGCTTGTGTCAAGGCGAAGAACTGCTCATAGAAGTCTCCTCCCCTGCCGATTCAGAATTGTTCTAACAGGCAATCCTTAAACTCCCTCCAACTCTGTATGGGTTGCCGCATGTACCTCCACTGGTACTAAGTCAAAGCTTTCCCCTCTAAACATTGGGGTGCTTCTATCAGTCTCTCCTCATCTGTCAACCTATCGAGAGGAAAGTATATTTCCATCCTGTAGATTCACCCATGTGCATCCCCCCCCTTCAAAAATATGCATCTTCAGTTTCCTCACTCTTAGATCTCCTCTGTCAACCTTGCTTCCTCCAAAATTTCTCATTCTCCAAGGGGGTGGTTCCCCCAAATCTTGCCCATATTATCCTTCCTCTGCTCGCACCCAAACCTTTCATCACAAGCCCACCTTCTCCCTTCATATTCAACACTCCTTCGATCATATTCAACCCCTCTCCTTTCAAATTCGACACCTCTTCGATCATCATCAAGTCCTTGCCTTTCAAATTCAACCCCTTCTTCTTTTAAATTCAACATCCCTCCACTCATGCCCAACTCCCTCACGCTTCGCCACATACTCTCTACCTCCTCATCGATTTATCCTTGCTGTCATAGATTACTTATCAAAATGCAATGAATCGATTCCCTTAAGAGAAGTTAAAACAGACAATGTAATAATCTTTCGAGACTATATTGTCTATCATTTTGGGGTGGCACGTCGAATCATATCGGACAACGACACAACCTTTAAGAGTGTCAAAATCTATCTATTCATTGAACGATATAAAATTGATTGGCAGTGCGATCGTACTTTTTGCATTCTGTTCCCCGCGAGCAGAATCCTTTTGGAACCCCACAACATTCTCGACTACTCAAAATCAAAAACGCTATTTATTCACTATACACATAGAAGCTGAAGCCTAATCCCTGTCGACCTAGTCGTCCACTCCATACCTCCTGTACACGTAGTCTGCTCCCAGTGTCGCCGCCCGCACTACCACCCGTCTCTCGCAGAATCTACTAATCCCGACTTCCCTACATTGCATAGATGACCCTGAACTAATGACTCTCGCTCTGTCTACATCCAGTGTGTGATTCGGCCTTCCACTTGAATCGTACGCCCGTCCTCCTCTCTCTAGTGTGCGACCCTGCCCCTGCCTGGCTCAATTGGCCTATAACCAGATTCCTAGCCCCTATGTGCGATCCGACCTCCCTCGTGAACCGCACGATGGAGGAGTCGAAGAACAATGTCGGGGTCAATTTGATCCCCCAAAGCCCTCGGCCATTGATTCGATTTGACTAAGCGGAACTAAATGGTAATTGCCCTCCCCAACCTCCCCTTGTGGGGAGGGGTGCCGAAAAGGTTGCTGAAATCTCAAGAAAACACTGAAATAATGCAAGTGTCGATATAGAGGACTCAAATACTGATATCGTGGTCGATTCGCTCCCTCGAAGCCCTTGGTCGTCGATTTGATTTGGCTGAGCGGATATGCCAATAATCCCCAACTTCCCCTCTCCCAACCTCCCCTCGTAGGCAGAGGACGTCGATAGACTATCGAAATTGCCTCGAGAAATTGAAAAAATTGTCATATTCAACCCCTAAATAATTTAAAATTGAACCTTTGAATGAATTGGATTAATTAATTAACCTTTTTTAATAACTAATTAATTAATTTTAAAATAAAGCTAGTATTCAATTTTAAACTAAAATTCGATTAATTGATTAATTTAAAATCTAACTTTTAAACTTAATTAAAATCAAAACTTTAATTATTTTAAAAGTTAATTAAAATTAGAACTTTTATTAATTTAAAATTAATGAAACATTTAATTCAATTTAAACCTAAAA